ACAACAACAACAACAACAACAACAACAACAACAACAACAACAACAACAACAACAACAACAACAACAACAACAACAACAACAACAACAACAACAGCATCGCCACTACCAACAGCAACACCAGCACGATCACCACCAATCGCCACCGCAGCCCACCTCGCTGAGAATCCCTCCCTCGTCCACCCCGGCCTCCCCCTGGAAGGTGATCTTGAGCGCCCTCCGGAGAGCAGATCCTGCCGCATCCGTCTGCACCAGCCGCATCACCGACGGCACCAGGTACCGGCTGTCCCGCTTCACGGTCCACTTGAGAGGACCGCTCGGCTTGGCCTCGTCCCGCACGGTGCGGAACAGAACCCTGCGATGGATGTGTATCCATATTGTTATGCATAACACGGTGCGGAACAGAACCGTACCATATACATGATGTTGTTTCGTTCAGGCGGTGGGATGGTGGTGCACCAGTGGGAAGAGACAAAGCACGGTGCGGAACCCTGCATTTTTATTTCAGTGTGTTTTTGGTTGCGGCCGTCAAGTGTGGTGTTGAGAGAAGGCAACCGAGGGAGGCTGAGGAGTAAAACAGCAGGCCATGCTCGGGAGGAACCGCCAAATGGGGGCGGTCTCTGACCCCTGCATCAAGTGAGACAATGGGGAAGCTGCTGCTACTGCTGGGGCCTGCTGCTGCTGTCCGAGCAGCGGGGGTACGGCAGCCGGAGCAGCTGATCGTTAGGATCTTCCATTGTTTCGCGAAGGGGACGGTGTTGGCACTCAATTAAGCACTGAGATGGATAGACGGCAGCCACGACAGTATCAAGAAAAACGCGGGAATAGCCCCATGACGTCGCTTCTATCTTGATTGTATACTTGCTGTCTCGTCACCTAACAGCCTCGAGCTTGCGGGTCTGTTCCAGCAGAGCCCCGTCTTGTTGAAGCCTCGACACGTGGGAAACCCGGAAGTATTTTGCCTTTGCGGTAGTGGTGGGAACACGCGCACGGGACGGGAAAAGAGGGTGTGGTTCCGAGAGCGTCAGCGGTGGTAAGCAAGGTGTCATCACCAACATCCACATCACCAACACCACCAACAACAACAACAACAACAACAACAACAACAACAACAACAACAACAACAACAACAACAACAACAACAACAACAACAACAACAACAACAACAACAGCTACACCACTACACACCGAAGAGCCTTCCTACTCTCTTCCAATCCCACCTGGAGGGCATCCGACGCCCTCGGTCTCCGGGCCGGGTCCGCCGCAAGCAGCGCCTTGAGCAAATCCGCCGTCGCCACGTCCGCACTCCGAGGGATAACGCCTACACCACCACCACTGCCCTCCGCTACGGGGAGAGGGCCGGTGGGATGGTCGGGGAAATGCATATGGAAGAGCACGGCTCCCAGGCTGTACATGTCCGAGGCTAGCGAGGAGGGCCTTCCGGATTCCACCTGTAAGGGGACAGGGAACGGGGAGTTTCTCGCACGTAAAAAGAAAAACGAACGTGTGTGTCGGAAAATTGCTCATGGACACCAGCCTTTACGTCTTTCGGAGTATTTTAGGGTGGCATCAGCCCAGGTCACACATACACGAAGAGTCCACAAAGGTAGGAGTGTTTCGTATCGCCTTTCGTGCTGTGTGTGTGTGTACGCGTGGAACGGTTTGCCTAGTGAATGTTTCTCGTCTTGTTCGTCCGCATAATGTTTCTCCTCGACACGAGCCTCCCAATCACGATCCGTGGCCTGTCGAAGCCGAGACGTGAGGGGTCCCGTGTCTCACGCCCGTTACCAAGTAGGGGGTCAGGCGAACGGGCTTTTCTCCCCTCCTGGACAGCCCCGCAATCACAAAAAACAAACAGATACAAACACGGAAAAGACGCACCCAGGGCCTAAAGGAATGACAGAGGGACCCTCGTGCCCCCTCTCCAATCACGCCTCACTCCAAGCAGACACACTTCTCATCCAACAGCGGTGCATCGTCTCCTCGTCCAACACTGGTGCATGTACTCCTCATCAAACAGCAGTACGCGTACACCTCATCCAACAGCAGTACATGCACTCGTCATCCAACAGCAGCACATGTACGTAGGTACCTCTGGGGCCATGAATCCGCTAGTCCCGGCAAAGCTCGTTCTGGTGGTCTCCGCCTCCATCGTGCTACCACGGACCCCCCCCTCCTCCCCGGCCTCGGGGGTGGAGCCACCGCCGCCGTCTTCTCCCCCACCGTCGCCTTCCGCTCCGCGCGCCCCCCCCGCGGGCGTCGCCGAGGCGTTTGACCCCAGAGTGTCCTTGCTGACATCGAAGTCCGCCAAAAGGAAGCGGCCATCCGCGTGGACAAGGATGTTCCCCGGCTGCCCGGGGGACGGGGGAGAGGGGGGGGGGTCCGTACTCTTGTAAACGCATGCCGTAGTTGCTAGACCATTGATCTCGCAATGCCGGAACGGAGCGATATGCCGGGTTTCCTTGGGGCAAGGCTTAACGGGGGGGTAGTTCCTATCGTGTGTGGTGGTAAGTAGAATACTTCCATAGACACTCGTTCCCCTGTGTTACAACGAGCACGTCGGGTTTCATGGACCTGACGAGAACTTTGGGGCAAGGCCGGAGGCAAAGGCCAAAAGCAGCTTGCAACCGACACGCCGAATGCCCTCAAGCGTGGAACAATGTTAATGTTTACAGGTAACCGTCCCGGTGTCTGCACAGTATTGGTCCAATTGACGAGGACGGACGCCTTGCGTGGAGGAGAGGATAACTTCTTGGCAAAGGCGGGGTGCGCTAAAGTAGCAATCGATTCGGGCTAGTCGAGTACAACACAAACACCAGCGAGAGCTGGCTGCCCATGATTGCTGCGCCGAGAACATTCTTCTCCAAAGCTTCCATCTCACCTTGATATCCTTGTGGATGACACCCGAATCGTGCAAGTGCATCACGGCGCACATAACCTGGCGAGCCAAAGAGGAACCAAACAAGAAAACGAATGAAAAATACCCCAAACAACAAGAAAATAAACTCGCGTTTAACACCCAGAAACGATGGTGACGGTTGCTTCAATTGTGAGGGCGTCCTACCCGCATACAAAAAACAAAAACAAAAAGCAGAGTGTGATGAAAACAGCAGGAATTCGGCAAGATGACGCAAAGGGTCAGCGGTAAAGGAAGAAACCGCCGAAATTAAGACGTTGCAAAAATTTCCCCACGAGAAGATGACACCACTGGATTTCGTACAGGAGGCGATGCAAGGCCAAACCCTACATCGGGCGGAGTGGGGTTCAGTTAACAGCCTCACGAACCAGCTCAACGCTGGTCAAACGCCATTTTCGTGCCGCTATACGGCTAAACCCCACCTTCTAACACACACTGATACCTGTGTCCACACCAATCAATATAATGCTACTGCTATGCGGAACCCTGGGTCCAATCCTTTAAAGTATTCCACTTTTTAGGTTAAGCTAGCCTGTGACCACGGGAATCGACCGCGTCAAATGGTAGACCAGCACGGACAGAACGAGGTACTGGGTAGAGAGATAGGAACGGTTTTGAGTGTCAACACCACACCAGCAACAAACGAGATGCCAAGCACCGTTGATCGCAACGATAAATACCCTTCTCTACCACACGAAGCACGTACTCCTGTGGTTGTCTTACGCATACTTTTGTCCTCTCTTCTGATTTGTTGTGGACATCTCAAAGTTGAAGTTTGAAGTATGACGTCACCTGTCGAAACGCCTCTTGCAGCTCCCACGGCTGTCTGGGTCGGGCCTGTAACCATTGACGAAGGTTGCCTTGGGCGCAGTAGGGGAACTTGCCGAGAGAGAGAGAGAGAGAGAGAGAGAGAGGGATGGAGGGAGAGGGAGAGGGAGAGACATAGACAAGGAGGCAGAGAGAAAGGAGAGAGAGAGCGGGAGGGCATCGGAGGTTGACCAGGTGGCATTGCGACGAAAGAGTGTTGTAGGAATTCCCAAACATATATTCAGTGCGATGTTATTGGTTGGAAACAAAGCAGCATGAGACATTCGTATCTGTTTCGCTACCCCGCCTTCTACGGTGGATGCCTGGGTCTTTTTGAACGTCTTGACGTTTTCTCTGGGAGAGCTGGCTGCAAGCATAAGGGGTTGGCCTGGCCGCAGGCAGAACGCACGCCTCTGCGATCCACCATGCCATGCCAACCCTTACGCCGCGCGCACGAGATTAACATATTCAGCAATCCTTTTCTCCACCAAGACAAGGCAAAACAAAAAATCAGCTGGTGATAAACGACAAGACTAGATTTGGAATGTGCCCGTTGTTTGCACGGCAACACTCCGTGCTCAACTGGGCCAGAGGGGGGGCTTGGGGTGCGCGCGGTACTGTACCCATACGCGCCTCCAAAACCACCTGCCTTCAACCAACCTTCCAACTTGATGTGGTAGCCGATTCCTGTGGTCTTTCAGCGGTACCCACTCCAACAAGCAGACAGACCCTTCATCATGTTACCGATTACCGATTGTTGTGGGTGTTCATTTCATTCTTTCAACACCGATGGCGCCCACAATAAACAGAAAGCATTCACATTCGGTGAACGGGGTGTTGGTTTGAGATGAAAAACGCTGCCGGACTGTCTCCGCTATCCCATCCCCGTCAGCGGTAACAGGACAACCATGGTCTCGTCTATCTTCCAGAATTCAGCACGGAAGGCACGAAAATAACGAAAAAAACATGACATGACGACACCGCACGCAATAGAAACTAGAACATTTACCTCACGATGTACACACCCATCCATGGCGCAACTCTCTTAGTCTCACCTCGATGTAGAGCATGGGGATAGGGTTCTCGTTTCCACCGTCATCCTCGACGATAGCCCCTGCCCTGATTATGGCCCCATGTCGAACCCGGTCCAAAATGTGCAGCTCCCGCTCTAGGCTGCGTCTCTGGAGGGCGTTCACCTAAAAGAAACGTCATGGTTCAACCGCAACAAAAAAAAACACACGAAAAGATAGCACTGATCGGTAATTATTACTTTCATTCCAGACCGTAGACCGTACTGTTCTCATTTACAAGGGCGGTGTTGTCCACATCATGTTCCTGCTACATGAGCAACAATCGACGTGTTGATGCAGGGCGAGACACGGGACCAGGAGCCTTCCTTGCTCCCCTTTTTCACAAGAAAGTTAGCGATAGAGAGGCGTGACGATGTATACCAGCGCCAGGGCATAAAGCCCTAAACCACAACGGTTTCACTATGAACGAATACCACAAGAACGATAAAGCCGATCGTGCTCACTACAGCAAAATTTTCACTCCGAAACAATTATTTCTTCTTTGCGGAGCGATGTTGTCTACATCATCTTCGTAATGTACTACATACATAAAGTACACCGAAACTGGTGGGTGCCCAACAGCTGTTCTTCAAGGACGACCGAAGCGCACACACGTCTTTCAAACACGACGAAAACAAACATCTAATAAACTAGAACGAACACATATTAAGTAAATAAAGCATTTCCTCACGACCCAAACCTCCAAAACATTATGATTGGATCTTAAATAATAAATGCTTCGGAGTACTACCCCATTCGAACAAAAAAATGAACAATAAAATATTACTTGCCAGGGCGTATCCCTTGAGGACGACGGTTTCATCGTCGTACTCCGCCAAGAAGATTCGATGCCGGCCCTGACCCCCCCCCGTGGAGCCCTCGTCCTCCATGGCCCTCACGGCCTCGTACTCCTTCAGCCGCCGGAGGGGGAGGTCGATCCCCGCGATGCTTACATCTTGCACCACCTGCTTATGTTTTTCGTTTCGAGTTCTTGGGGTAAACCGCTGTGCCTTTTTTTGCCGTTCGTTAGGTTCGTTTTCAAATAGCGACACGTGTTCGTATGATGCAAAGATTTTCTAGATCTCAGGAGGAGGTGATGTGTGCGTGCACATCGCATTGCTACTGCTATCATGTTTCATTCACTCCCTACCAGTTATACTTCAATCCGGTATGTACAAGTTTCTTTCAGGGTAGGTCCAAGCGCGGTTTGTTCTGTTACATGCCTTTCATGGACATGTGCCCATCTCTCTGGGTCCACTGTTGTCTATTTGTCCTTTAAAACTATGTACCCTTTCGGGGAGCTTACCTGTAGCAACGGAAGGCGTCCGCATTGGTTGAGTCAGCACAGATGTTGCAAGGAAATCAAGGTACTGAGCAGCGATCGGAACGGTTCTTTACGTTAAGACAGCAGCAACTACATCGACAACAACATTTCTCCACGGCAGTAAACATCATGACAAGCACACGGGGTTCCAGATCATGACCTACAGAAGTGTTTTCACGTTCTTGGACGTCACATTTGACACTCACGTCTTCCTTTAGATTCATCAGTCGGTTGGCGCGGCCGATGCCAAGCAACGCAACACACACACACAGCCCCCCCCCCCACGGGGCCCCAAATCATGGTAGCCTTAAGCAGCGTTTTCTGTTTTTCAGCCGCAAGGAGACCGATATTTTTCGTTGATCAGCCGGTCAGTGCGGCCGATACTGAAAACAACGATATGCATGCACCTACACACTCACACGATCCCACCCCCCGGTCGCCCCGGTGGTCTAGTGGTATCCTCGTAATCCGCTAGTTGCAGCGGTCGTGAGTTTGAAACCCGTGGGGTGAAAAAATTACGAAATGTGCGGGTGAAAGCGAAATATAGCTGAGAAGCTCTCGTGAGTACCAAACTTCGACGTTAGCACCGTTGACGAGAGAAAGGGACGGCTGGACGCTTCTCGCGACAAAAATAAAATTCAGCACGCACCGCAGGAGGAAGGTGGGGCATGAAAACAAATAAAAAGGGGAAAAAAGCCCTCGTGTTTACCCCCCTCCTGTGTGACCCTGGATGGTTGTAGTTGTACGAAAAATACACTGAAAAGTGTAGTACTCTAGACTACATACGCCGGTATGTACACGTCTCACCACGGAAAATGGGGGGACTGTTAGGGGTGTTAAAGCGGCGGAATTTGGGGCCAAACAAACGTCCGGTCCATTCGGCAAAATTTGAGGGGGGCACGCGGATTTGGTTCGTTTTTTGGTTCTTGAGAATCCCGCTGTTAATACTGAATAAACTATACATCAGGTCAATTTGTTTGTACAGGCAGCTCTGCGTCCAGACAGCAGCATGGCTCTTCATGCGTTACACACACCTGGACACAGGTCCAATAGAGGTAACTGTAAGCTCGGTTTTCTCTTCAAGTTAAACGGCGGACAAACAACACCAAAAAACATGTTTTTTTGGGCTCTTTGCTCCACGCCCAAGGCGACCGTTGCTCCTCTCGACAAAGCGAGCTCACAGCCCTCTACCTTGGGTTTACAGCTATACCACACTACAAACCGCATCCGAATCGCATCAGCCAACCACGAGATCTACTTGTCTGAAAACGGCCCCTCCAGGGGGGCTGCAGTGCCCACACCAGCAGACCCTCCCAAAAAAAAAATCGAGGTCCGCGCCGTTCGGCAGCAGGAGGCGCGCTGCGCGAAAGCTGAATCAACACAAAACGAAGTTTGAAGAGAGGACGGGGCAGTGTATGGTTGCCACGTCAGCAGAAGATAACACGCAGCGCGCTATCGAACGCGGCAGCCTCACCGTCGTAGAGAGAACGCTGGAGGAAAAGAAGGAGGAGTTGGTCAAAAATAAGAAAATTGTGGAAGAGAGCCAGGCTCAACCTCGCTGCCGCCGCCGCGGGGGCGCCGCTGCTGCTGCTGCTGTTTTTTTCAGCAGCAGCAGCGGCGGCGGCAGGTGTCTGCGTGGCTTCACCGCCCGGCTGCTGCTCGGGTGTGTCATGAGGCATGTGTTCTAGAGTGGGACCGCGCAACGGTGTTGTGCTGTGCCACATAGCAGGGCGCAAAGCACACAGGCGAGCCGCGCCCTCGCGCGTGTGCGTCAGAGGGTCTTTTCGGGAGGTTCCGACGGTTTCGTGCAATTTCATTGGTTGGTCGATTTTCCATCAGCAAGATCCGAGGACGCTTTTTCGAATTTTTTTCCTAAAGGAAATTTTCTGCTTTGACACCCCTAACTGTCGCTATAATGAATTGGACGAAAACACACAACACAAACACCCCTCACCTTCTGCCTCCCGATCAAGGGGTTGAGCGCCTCAGGGAGATCCAGAGCAATCTCCGGAGATAGGCCGTGCGCCAGGGCCGCCGCGTTCGCCGCTGCTTTCCTTCCCGCCCGTCTCGCGCGCCGTGCAGCCTTTTCGGCGGAGGTCAAGGCCGCCTGACATCATCGTCATCGCCGTCGTGATTGTTGTTGTTGTTGTTGTTGTTGTTGTTGTTGTTGATGTTGTTGCTGTTGTTTTTGCGTTGGTCGTTTTGATGGTGTTTGTTGTGTAGTTGATTATTTCGATGTCATAGTGGTAGTGTTGTGTTCGTGTCGGTATTTTTGATGTTGTTTTCGATACTGTTGATGATGATGATGATGATGACGATGACGATGATGATGATGATGATGATGACGATGACGATGATGATGATGATGATGATGACGATGATGATGATGATGATGACGATGATGACGATGGTGACGATGATGATGTTGTGGTTGTATTGTGGAGGCCGCGTTACCGCTCGCTGACTAGACTGAATACAGCGTTGTTGTGGGCGTGGCTGTTGTCCGTGCAGTTACTGTTGCTGCCGTCTACCCCTTTACGGTACTACAAACGTTGACGTTTCGCCAATCACAATCTCCCAAGTCGCCAAACAGCGACACACTTCAAACCCACGTTCTCGTCGATGCACAAATCACGCCGGCTTTTACATTCCGTGTGAAACCTGATACGCACGTGCATCGTGCACTTGACTTATTCCGCACGTAGTACTACATGCAACCTTCATCGTTCCAGACCTGAAGCGGTTCGAGCTCGTCGGCTTTGGCGCCCCTCCTTCGCCTCTTGTCCAAGGCCCCTTCACAGTCGGTCACCACATCCTCCAGGTCGAGAACGCTGTTGATTGACCCATCCATTCGTTTTGGGGCACAAACGGAGGGGAGTTGGAGGTGCTAGATCAAGGCTACTATTTCAAAGAAAGCGATTCCTGAGCGCCCTTGCCCCCCGTCTGAAGCCCTGCTTCAATAGTTCGGCCCCACCGGTCGCCCCGGTGGTCTAGTGGTATCCTTGTGATCCACTAGTCGCATAGGTCGTGAGTTCGAAACCCCATGGGGTGAAAAATTTACGACATTTGCGGGTGAAAGCGAAATACAGCTAAAAAGCTCTCGTGGGTCCCAAACTTCGACGTTAGCACCGTTGACGTGAGAAAGGGACGGCTGGACGCTTTTCGCGACAAAAATAAAATTCAGCACGCACCGCAGGAGGAAGGTGAGGCATGAAAAGAAATAAAAAGGGGGAAAAAGCCCTGGTGTTTACCCCCTCCTGTGTGACCCTGGATGGTTGTAGTTAGTTGTACGAAAAAATACACTGAAAAGTGTAGTACTCTACATACGCTGAAAAAGTGTAGTTCACGTCTCACCACGAAAAATGGGGGGACTGTCGCTATAATAAATAGGACGAAAACACACACACACAACACTTGTCCCGGTCGCTGCAGAGAAACACAATCTACCCCTGTTCACCCTCCGCTTCGCCCACTCCTTCGACGTTCCGTGTCAACCAAACCTCATGCTTTGCTGTACAGCCGTACGTACATCTACAATGGCTAGCCACTTCATTCATCCTGTAATGTGCCTGGCATGCAGTGTCAGAAATATCTTTTGCATGAAAAGGGGCAGATGTTCCATCACGGAAAATGCTGTGTAAATACACACATTCTCTGTGTTCGGCCTTGTCTACCCCGACGGCGGGCTCACCTGTTTCTCAGCTCCTCTACTTTGGCCTTGAGGGCCAGACCCTTAGCGGCAAGGCCTTCCGCGTCCACAAGCTCGCCCACTGTCCCCGCCCAAGCGCTGGCTTCCTCTGCCATGATGGAAGCTTCAGCGGAGTCGCGGCCGGCTTCGGCTAGCGCCTAGCAGGCCAATCAAGACACGATATTCAACAATTCGGCACAATACTGATTGGTCACCTGCGTAAGCGGCATAGCTAGCGCCAAGGGACTTCGCTGGGCGTACACCGGACAGCCGTTTCGATGTAGAGTGGCATTAGACACCTTGAACATTCCATCTGTCTCACGCGCTTTCACCTGCCATATATACAGGGCGAAAAGCTTTATTCACTCAGCGTAATGCAGGGATCGCTATCGAACCTACCAAGGCACACTACAAGACTGAACAAGCGACCTAGAAAAAGGAGCCATACCCCCCTGGGGTCGCACTATGCCATGCCTAGAGGCACATCCCTGGGACAAGGGAGTTGGGCACTGAGCTTTAAGCTTGGCAGGAGCCTAAATAACACCCTTTTCCTGCCTTTCATATGCGTGGATCCCCGCAACGCCGCGCTCGAAATTCCGGGAAAAACACCAACCCCAAACGGCAAGCCACCCCAACGCACCTGAGATAGGTAGTCGTGCCCCTTGAGTATCAGAGCATTCCCGAGAGCGCACGCCTCTCTGTACATCTCGGGGGTCCGGTGGATCTCCTCATCTGCCGCACGGTGGGCCTTGAAGCGCTCCCGCTTGACCCTGCCTTCGAGTACGTCCGACTCTCGAGACAGCTCCAACATCGCCCTCACCCCATCCTCCTCGCTCGACGACCCCGCGACCTCGAACCCGCTGTCGCCGCTTAGGCCCGGGTAAGACGGCGACGGCAAACCGCCGTGCGCCTCGACTCCTACCGCTGCGGGATGGATTTCCGTCTGAGCAGCAGCCATCAACCCGGCTTCGCTGCCGCCTGCGGGTGGCGGCGGGGGCGGTGCAACATTGACCATCCACCCCGCCAGCCGCGAGAGCGCTGCCGAGTGCTGCTCCATGGCGTCTCGGAGACCTGACACCGCCTCGTCGGTGTCCCGCCGCTCGCCGTCGCCGTCCTCGGAGGCGAGCCTCGCCAGGTGAGCGAAAGAGTCAGCCGTGCTTGCTTCGCCGGCGGCGGCGGCGGAAACGGCGGCCGCCTCCGTAGCCGCGGCTGCCGCCCTGACGGGTCCAACTTCATCGCCATCCAAGAAGGAGCCTCGCCGCCGCATGCGCGTCAGCTCCAGCCGCGAGAGCACCCACTCTGGCGCCGCGGCGTCGCCGCCGCCGCCGCCGCCGCCGCCGCCGCCTGCTGTTCTCGTCGATGCCGTCGCTTCTCCTCCCCCTCCTCCCCCTGCACCGGGATTAAGGCCGTCGTTGCCGTCGTCTCCTTCATCATCGTCGTCGTCGTCGTCGTCGTCGCTCGAGTGCTGCCGACTCTGCCCGCGGATGAGCGCCCACACGCGGCCGCCGGCGGTCCGGGCGCGGCGCTCCACCTCCCGCATTGCCGAGTCCACGTTGGAGTGGTTCGACTGCAGTTCGTTTGCGCGAGGGGGGTAACGCGCATGGGACAAGGGAGGGGTACCGGAGTACACGTTGGAGTGGTTCGACTGCCGTTCGATTGCACGAGAGGTAGCGCGGATGGGACAGGGTACGACTTCGCTTGCTTGTCTTTGTAGCGAGTGATACTGCTGACGTCACTTACTCTGCATCGACGAACACAAGCTGCGCACAAATGTTATTGGAGGGGCTAGGCTCTGGCGACGATTTTCGGTGATGAATGCCACAGCGCCACGTCGCAGCAACCACAGCTACAGCAGCACCAGCACACGCGAAGCACAACACACCATCCCGCCGTCCCCCTTGCTTCTCCTACCTGCTGCGCCTCCGAAATCTCCTGTAAACGCTTGGCCATCCTCTCGGCGTCTGCTCGAGCCGCCTGCGCGAGCACCGCCCTCCGCTCCACCAGCGGCGCCACCCGCGCTCTCGTCTCTTCCGCATGCCCCCCTTCTCCGCCGCCCCGCGCCAGCCGCCTGATCTCCCTCTGAAGGCCCTCGATCTCGGCCCTCGCTTCCACCACCCGCTGACGAAGGCCACTGGCTTGCCCCCCGCTCTTCTCGTCGTCTCCGGTCGCTTCCGCCGCGGCGGCTAACCCTAACCCCGACGCTCCGCTAGACCCGTTCTCGTCGACGGAGGAGGCCACCTCTTCCCCGCCCTCTTTGCCTTCCTCCTCCTTCTCCTCCTCCTCCTCCTCCTCCGTTTGCTTCGCCTCAGCGACAGCCTCCGCTCCCGGCCGTAGCCGCCGTCTCCCCCCGGGCGGCGAGCATCCCGCCTCAAAGTGGACCGCTCTAGTAGCAGGACACCTTACTTCCGCCGTCACCGCCGCTCCCGACATGGCGGCGGCGGCGGCGGCGGCGGCCACCCCCTCCCCGAGAAACGCGCTGTGCACAGCGGACGTGACAACGGAGGCGAGGGAGCGCGTGTCTGCCCTCACCCGGTCCAGCAGCACGCGGCCCGCCGAGAGCTTCGCGAGGCGCTCCGTGAGCGCCAGAGTGCTGACCGTCACCCCAGCGTTTTCCGCCGCTGACCCGTTGACACCAACACCGCCGGCGGCGGCGGATTCCGCCGCATCGCCTCTTGCCATGGCGTGGAGGGCGGTCTCAGACGGGGGACGGTCGTCTCCAAACCATCCCCAGAGATCATCCTCCACCGATTCATGTCTGGAGGCGCGGCTGCTCGGGCGGCGAGAAAGAGCCGCGCCGCTCCCGCCGCCGCCGCCGCCGCCGCCGCCGCCACCCTCGGTGAACCCGAAGGAGGTGGCGCTGCCCCTTCCTCCCTCGCCGCCGTGGCTTGGCCTCCGCAACGCGGCCCCGCCACCTACGAGGAGAGTACCATTGTTGAGTGTCGCACCGGTGGTATCGCTGCCAATGGCGGCAACAGGGGGGGGAGGAGACAACAATGCGGTAGCGCCGTGACTGCGGGTCGAGGAACCCGCGTCGTCGCTGGCTCCCGTAGACGTTGTGCTGGCCCCTTGCTCACGCAAAGCACCCGCCGTGAGTTGTGCGGATGATGCGCCTCTGGGGGAAGTGTGGAAGGTTCCATGTCCGTCCCGTAACAAGGACGCGTGGGGGGGGGGGGCGGGGGTTGACAACATAACTGTCAAAAGGGGCAGGAAAA